CTGCCCGCCCGCCCATCCGCCCATCCATCCATCCATCCATCCATCCATCCATCCATCCATCCATCCATCCATCCATCCATCCAGCCAGCCAGCCAGCCAGCCAGCCAGCCAGCCAGCCAGAGATGTTGAAGTTCCTATAGCAGCCCTCTCCACAATAGGAATAACTGCATCATTTGAATGTCATCAGTACAAATGAGGGAGAATTTTACTTCTACTAAGAATTTTCTAAAATGTTCAGCTTTCTTCACATCCAACATGAAAGCAACTTTAAAACGACTGGACGAAGAAAGCAAGGGACCCTATTCATTTATCCAAAACATAAGTTCATCATTCTCAGCCTGTGGTTGTAAATTCTATTTCACAGGTTTGTTAGGGTTCGGGAGAGAAAATGTTTGAAGCAGCGAAGGAAAACGCTGTATAAAAGCAAAGAGGCTAAGTGTGATATACTACCTGCTAAGGGAGACACAAATATACACATGTGTATGTCTACACATCAGCAGCATCCCCACCATCATCTTAGAACTGCATAGCTGGAAGGGACCCGTTGAGATCATGAAGTTGAGCCCCTGGTCAAGGAGGGCCAGTGGAGAATTGAACTTCCAACCTCTGGCTCCACAGCCAAAGGCCTAAACCACTGAGCTCTCCAATAATAATAACCTTAGAATTGCAGAGATGGAAGGGACCCCATGGATCGCCGGGTCCAACCCACTGAGCTATCCAGCAGTTCTGAGAAACACACCCAACTTGCCAAAGCCATTGGCAGCCGAAACGCAAAGCAACAGACGACTCACGTACCAGCTGAGCTTCCTCCCATTTGTCCCGGTTCTCATCTGTCAAAATGTTGCTAACGATCTGTACAAAGTTCTAAGAAGAGAAGAGAGCAAGAGAAGCGTCAGCGGCTTTCGTCTCTCACACACTCAGGATCGCCACTGAAATGTGTTCGCACACAAGGCACATTCTTATTCCTTTGGTTCCTGTGCTTGGGGAAACCAGTGGAACCAGTTTACCTTCCCTTGGCATTTATTCCTAGAAATATAACCCACGGTTAGCCAGGTTCTGCATCTCCGTTTGCTTCCAGTCTGGGTGTACGGTGGGGCTTTGAAGGGCACGGGGGCTGACCAACCGTAGCCACCATTTCCCTCTCTCCCACCCACCTGAGCTGCCATCCTCTAAGTAGGCAGGAGATAAACGACTTTCCCCAGAAACAGGATACGGTTGCAGCTAGGCCTGCTGCAATGCAAAATATTTGATTGTGGTTTCATCATGGAAGGCAATTGAGAGACCTTAACTTTACAAAAGACCCACTCCTCATTCATTGATAGGGACCCGTCCCAAAGTCTGCCTTTTTGGAGAAGGGTCTAGCTCCCCCCCCCAATTCTAAAGGACCCACATAGAAGAAACACTTTTGGTCTCTCTTCGTCGGACATCCTGTTTGGTTTATTAAACATGCTGCCATGGCCTAGTATCCAGAATTAACGAGGCAGAGAATGGGGAACAAAAGACAGACTCATTTCCGAATGAAGCACAACATCTCGTACAAGCTAGAGTCCAGTTTCATGGCTTATAGCTTAGCCAGAAAAAGGTTCTGAGCCCTGAATCCTTAGGACACCGGCAAAATTAATTAATCCTAGGGATTCAGAGTTCAGAACCTCCTGGATAGGCTATAATTAACAATCATACAATCATTAACAATCATATATATAACAATATATATAACAATTACATATATATAACAAACAAATATTTATATATTAAATATATATCATTAATATATTAAATATATAATGTTATATATTATATATAATAATATACTATATTTTTCCATGTATAAGACGCCCCCCCCACTTTTCTGCAGGATTGCTTTAATCCCTGCTTCCCCCTCCACTTGTTTTTGTTCTCTCCTCAGCATACTTCTGTGTATAAGACGACCCTCAATATTTAGTCTAAAGATTTTAGACAAAAGTATAGTCTTATACATGGAAAAATATGGCATATGCTTCTATATATTGTTTGTTTGTTTGTTTATTCCTTGAACTTCTCTACTGCCCAGTTAGTGCGAGGCACTACTCTGGGTGTTTAATAATGCAAGTCATATAATACAACAGTAATAAAGGAAATATGATAAAGTAAATCAAATCAAGAGACATAAAATCAACCAGCCGACATCAGATGCAATTTGGCAGCCATCATGAAGGGATGCCCTGCAAAGCTTCAGTAGAGAGGAACATATTCCGGAGTCTCTTGAAGGCAAAGAGGGAGGAGGCAATGCCTCCCTCCCATGCCTCTGGCATGGAAGCCATGCCAGAGGGGCTGTGCTACAACTGAGAAGGTCCGGCATCTGTTGGAAGTCTTTCTGACCAACCTCAGTGTGGCAACCTGTAGGAGCAAGGCCTGAGAAGATCTGGTGTCCTGGGTCTATGTTCTTGGGAAAAGGTGCTCCAACAGGTAACAAACTCCCCAACCATGGAGGGCTTTAGAATCTAAAAACGAAACCTTGAACATGACCTGGAGCATCACAAGTAACCAGGGCAGGTGAGCCAGAACTTGGCAAATGTGATCAAAAGGAGTCCTTCAAAGATATTGTCTTAAAACTCCATCTATCCTCAGAGAAGGGCCCCAATCCAGAATGGTGGATTGGGGCTAATCCATTCTTGTCGTTGTTTAGTCGTTAAGTCATGTCCGACTCTTCGTGACCCCATGGCCCAGAGCACGCCAGGCCCTCCTGTCTTCCACTGCCTCCTGGAGTTGGGTCAAATTCATGTCAGTCGCTTCGATGACCCTGTCGAACCATTCTTAACTGGGCTCAAATGCGTGGCAGTATTTATGTGTTTCTGGATCTCCATTCCCATGACTGAGGAAAAAATGAATAGCGATGACCTGTGATGGATGTCCTACAGCTACAGGGAAGTGGTAGACAGGAAGACTCAACTTCTGCTCAGAGGCGCCCTTCTACTGCTTGTGCAAAGGACAGTAGGTAGCGGCATTGACACGACCATAGGAATTAAAGTATTAATCAGAAAGAAAGGGTCTGGGGAACAAAAGGCAGATCCCACTGTGTCAGTTCTGACCTAACCACTCAAAGCCCATCCAAGAGGATCAGAGGTATTCGGCCACACACACACCTACATTTAATTGCAGTATTAAATTGCTTGGTAATCTAAGGTAGGTAAGAAAGGGCAGGGGGAGAGAAACAATTCTACAATTTGAATCCTAGCTAGCGGTGACAACACAAGTATTTCACTTCACCTACATTTAATAGGTGATGGAATGCCTGCAAAGGGATTTAGACATGTCAGTCGCTTCGATGACCCTGTCCAACTATTCTTAACTGGGCTCAAATGTGTGGCAGTATTTATGTGTTTCTGGATCTCCATTCCCATGAGTGAGGAAAACATGAATAGCGATGACCAGTGATGGATGTCCTTCAGCTACAGGGTCCTACCCCCCCAAAAAAGCCCCAGTTAAGAGAAAGCCAACCCTCCACCCTTGTGCAGCCACCAGAAGAAGAGGACATGACTGTCTTTGAATAAATGTATATTGTTGTACATTGGAAAAAAATAAAGCATTCCCTGGAAATAAGCCCTAATGGATTTTTGAAGCAAAAATTAATATAAGACCCTGTCTTGTTTTCAGGGAAACATGGTAGATACGTCTATATCAATTGCATCGTGACCATATTGTGGGCCCTCATCGGTGCCTCAGTGGTTGGAGCATCCAGGGAAGATCTCCGGCTTTCTTGTAGGGCTCATCTATCACTCACGTCTTCCTTGGTGAAATAAGCCCTAATGGATTTTTGAAGCAAAAATTAATATAAGACCCTGTCTTGTTTTCAGGGAAACATGGTAGATACGTCTATATCAATTGCATCGTGACCATATTGTGAGCCCTCATTGGTGCTTCAGTGGTTGGAGCATCCAGGGAAGATCTCCGGCTTTCTTGTAGGGCTCATCTATCACTCACGTCTCCCTTGGCTGCCAGCAACCCAGGCTTCTTTATGTCAATGTTTAAACTTTTAAACCCCACAAATGTCAGCTGGAACATGAAGGATCTGGGGACCGGGTGTTGTTCCATCCTGGTGGCAACCAGCAGCACTATGCTCTGCTTGCTCTAGAATGGCACAAATACCCTGGATTTGATCCATTTTTTGCACATTCCTCCAAAGACAGTTACATGCCTCTGATCTGCCCGTTGCTACATCACTCAATAGCAAATTACGCAATGTATAGTATATGGGACGGGTCCATAGTTCAATTATACCGGCCCATTTCATGGAAGTGCAGGTTTATTAAAGGTTGCAAACCTGTTCCTTGTTCCTGATTGCCAATAGTCCTTGGGCCTTCTCACCACCGGGCTTGCCAACTTGCTACCCGTCTCCGCTTGCCCTCTCTGCCAGCTGCTAAGTCACCCAGTGTCACCTCACCTGTATATCGTTGGCAGTTGGGCTATAATATGCCCTGCGGAAGATTTCGGTCATATTCCTGAGCACATCGAAGGTTGATAGCAGATCCCCACTATAGCTGGTTCCATCTTGAGAGATCTCCACGAGGTTTTGCAGAACGTCGGACACCCCTTCCCCTATGAGCCCCCGCTGAGCTTTGGACAGGTGCTCTCTTGTCTGGCAAGACAAATACATATAGATATGCATGTTTATGTCATTGCTAGTTACGATGAAACCCAATATTCTAAAATCTCAGGCTAGACAGCACACCCTCCGAGACACAACACACACAAACCCACACCCCGAACTAACCCCCCCTAAAACTAAAATAGATGGATAGATAGACAGGAAGGCAGGCAGACAGACAGACAGAATACATAATAATCTAGGTATTTAACAGCCATTTTTACTATAGAAAAGTTGTAGGTCATTCTTAGTGGGGAGAAGGAACTGTGGAGAAATGGAACCCTGTGAGAAATATATTAATGTTTGGAGACACGGCATAATCAAAATGGCTAATGAATCTTCAGGCGTGGTCAGATTCAAACTCAGTCCATTTCATGTTTGACATCACCTGAGTTTGCCCAAACATGTCTGACGCAGGTATGGAATTTGTGTAAAACTGAAGCAAATTATTTTTTTAACTGCTCGGATAATCCCTACAGTTCCCGGGAATCATCAGCCAGCTTGCCTACCGGGAAGATGGCCTAAGAGCCGTATCCATAAAAGTATAGGAGTGTGTGTCTCTCTAGCCAGAGTTTGGGCTGCCTGGATAGCTCCATGTGTTGAGTCTCCAGCTGCAGAGCCCTTCCCGGGAATCATCAGCCAGCTTGCCTACTGGGAAGATGGCCTAAGAGCCATATCTTTTGGGCTGGCTGGATAGCACCATGTGTTCAGTCTCCAGCTGCAGAGCCCAAAGTTGAGAGTTCGATTCCCTACTGTGCCCTAAAGTTGGGAGTTTGATTCCCTGCTGTGCCCCGAGGAGAAATAGCCAGCCTGTGTAGCCTTGGGCAAGCTGCACAGACCCCCTGACACGCCCAGGAGAAAAGAATGGTAAACTCCTTCTGGGTTCACCTTACCTAGAAAGCCCAGAACGGGCAGCATAACGCAGGACTAATGTGATATCACACAATTATTATTATTTCTAGCCATGGTTTGGAAAAACCTATGTTTCATACAACAACTTCTAAAGTCTCTATTATTAGTGTGGTTCAGCTGTTGCAGAATTACAAAATGATCATGCATTTCCCCCCCAAACACTGATCCTGCCTGCCATACTTCCTTCTGTTTCTCCTGTTGGGATGAAAACTATATTCACAACCTATCTCACCTCGCGTGATTTTGACAGTCTCCACAGGCCCAGACCGCCCCCAATGTGGAGTTTTAATACCTTCCAATCAACCTTGCCTCCAAGGTAGCTCTTTCCCCTCCCCTTGGGATCTCCTTAATTTGCAATGTGCAATTTGTAATATTGTCTCTCATGTCCGTTCCCTATGAGAAGCAAGGGACCCACAGCCACAGCAATCACAAGACTGGCTCATTGTGAAGACAGGAGGCAACAACCGATGTTCAAGAGCATAATCATTCAAGAGAAAATGGGCCAATCCTCTGTCAGATCTGGTTTGGCGTAGCTCTTTCCCCTCCCCTTGGGATCTCCTTAATTTGCAATGTGCAATTTGTAATATTGTCTCTCATGTCCGTTCCCTATGAGAAGCAAGGGACCCACAGCCACAGCAATCACAAGACTGGCTCATTGTGAAGACAGGCAGCAATGACCGATGTTCAAGAGCATAGTCATTCAAGAGAAAATGGGCCAACCCTCTGTCAGATCTGCTTTGGCTTGGATTTCTGCCTTGAGCAGGGGGTCAGACTCGATGGCCTCGAGGCCCCTTCCAACTCCATCATTCTATGATTCTGTGTTTCCACAATGCTATGATCTAGAACTTAAGCATCTTACCCAAAACAGTGGACATCCTAATTTGGGTCAATCTATACAATTAGCTCCATTTGGAAATCGCGCAACAAAACAAGGCCATTTGGGGCAAAATCTGAGGTTCTGTGAGGCCAAAGCATCCATCTCATCAGTACAAGAAGAGAGATGCAGATATTCATATTCCTGCTCTTCTAGCCACTCCAGGCAAGGGGCGCGAGGACGTGTCTCCCCACATTGCTGCTGAGTGGCCAGCCGAGCAGGAAGATAGTGACACTCTGAGCGCCATTGGTCCAGGCAAGGGGCGCGAGGACGTGTCTCCCCACATTGCTGCTGAGTGGCCAGTCGAGCAGGAAGACAGTGATGCTCTGAACGCCATTGGCAGGATAAGCAGGACCAGCGCCAAGACAGGATGTGTGAGTGGACAATCCAGTCCCTCATTAGCTCCAGCTGGGATGGGGATATTCGTATACAAATTTCATATTCGAATATCTGCATCTGGCAGGATAAGCAGGACCAGCGCCAAGACAGGATGTGTGAGTGGACAATCCAGTCCCTCATTAGCTCCAGCTGGGACGGGGATATTCGTATTCGTATACAAATTTCGTATTCGAATATCTGCATTTCTAGATGAGAATTCGGTCAAACAATCCAGGAACTCTTTTTTTTTTTTTTTACTCCTTGGTGGCAAGGGAACAAATGTTTGCAACTTCTCCTCATCTTTGCACACAAGGATGAGACAAACCACAGTTTAGATCCCTTAATCTCATCTTCTTCACCCTCAGGCCCTCAAGACTCCAGAGATCCAGAGCTGGAGAACACATATTCCAAGTTGGCCTTGGGAAACTCCTGGGCACTTACCATCATCTGTATATTCCTGTAGTCAATGGAAACACACTTGATGTACGTCGGAACCATCCAATAGGCAATGCCCTCTTCATCTAGAAGGCAACGTCTTAGGATCAGCCCTAGCGGGAGCAGAAAAGAGACAGCTAAGAGTGTCATCTCCTGTCTGCTGAAACAAGAGGTTGCTATTCAAGGTCTCCCACGGCCCAATTAATTTACCTAAGAGTGATATAATACTGTAATTTCATATGTGTCTGTTTTTAGCTGTGTTGTTGTTGTTCTGTGTTGTGCTGTTGTTGTTGCTGTTCTTGTTCTGTGTAAGTCACTTCCATCTTACAGTGACCCTATGAATGAACCTATGGCTTCCTTTAGGTGTCTGGTCTTCCTCTTTTCCTGCTGGCTTCCAGCTTTCCCACCATGATGGCCTTTTCCAGATAATCTTGCCTTCTCATCATGTGGCCAAAGTAGGACAGGCTCGGCTTCAACATTTTTGCCTCCAGAGAAGATTCAGGCTTGATTTAGGACCCACTTGTTTGACTTTCTGGCAGCCCAAGGTATCCACAAAGTTCTCCTCCCACACTACTTTCTGAATGACTCCATTTCCTCCACCTCGCATCAGCTGTCTTTGTGGTCTAGCGTTCATACCCATACATGGTGATCAGAAAGACAAGATCTTGAACTTGGTCTCCAGTGACACAGCCTGACACTTGATGATCTTTTCTAATGCCTCCATAGCTCTCATTCTGAATCTTCATGTTCTTCTATGCCTTGAGCAGGAGGTTGGACTGGATGGCCTCGTAGGCCCCTTCCAACTTCACTTTTCTATGATTCTGTGATTCTATCATCTTCACATTTGTGTGTGTGTATGTGTATGTGTATGTGTGTGTGTGTGTGTGTGTGTGTGAATCGTGTTCCAAGAGATACATTAAATAAATAAATAAATAAGAGCAAAAAGATAGCTGGGAAATAGTTTTGATAAGAATGTACAGTAAATATGGATGACACTCGCAGCTTCACCAGTACATTGGAAAAAGAGCCATTTGACATGTTAAATGCCACAGAACTAATGAAGTCTCCCTCCCGGTGTGTGTGTGTGTGTGTGTGTGAATTGTGTTTCAAGAGATACATTAAATAAATAAATAAGAGCAAAAAGACAGCTGGGAAATAGTTTTGATAAGAATGTAAAGAATGTAAATATGGATGACACTTGCAGCTTCACTGGTACACTGGAAAAGAGACATTTGACATGTTAAATGCCAGAGAACTAATGAAGTCTCCCTCCCATGTGACTCCATTAATGTTTTTCTCTCCTCACACACAGACATAATTGACCATCACCTTATGGGTCAAAGGAAGGAGGCTAAACCAATGTGAGAAATGGAAATAATCTGAGAAAGTTGCTCCTTTAGGACATGATGGAGGGCGTGTGAAAGAGATTCAACCTTGACGGAGCTAAACTGCAAATCCCAGTCCACTAATTAAAGGTGGGCGCACATTGCTTGTTCAAAAGCCATCTGGGAGGTTTTGAGACCAGGAAATAAATATTCAGTAACAGCAAAAGCAGCCTCCTTTGAAACCAACACAAGCATCCCAGTATCATCCCAGTAAGGGCTGGGCCTGTTGCCTCTTATTATTCTTGTCTCTTCTGATTTGGAAGGATGGGTTCTAGAGATGGGCATGAACCGGTTCATCCCAGTTCGTCAAGATAGCAGCACCGGCGCAGCTGCTCCCCGCATGAACCGGTTCGTCCCAGTTCGTCAAGATAGCAGCACCAGTGCAGCTGCTCCCTTGCCCTGCCCCCTCTGGCTCATCTCAGCCCCTCACCAGGTCCAGCATGGTGGCTTTCTGCCCCTCCTCGACTGATCTTCCAGTCCCGGCAAGAGCTCAGGCTTCTCTGCCCCGCCCTCTCAGCTGACCTGCCACTCAGGCAGATGGGCGGGGCAGAGAAATGTGTACTCTTGCTTCTGATTGGGAGATAAGCCAAGGAGGCGGGAAAAGCAAGCAACCCAGGCCTGGTGAGTGGCTGATGGGTGAGGAGGCAGGAGAAGAGAGCAGCAGCACCTTGATGAACTGGGACGAACTGAGATGAACCGGTTCGTGCCCATCTCTAATGTGTTCTTGAGCAGTCCCTTCACGTTAATAAGTCTGTTTTCCCCAATGCCATGGATGTCTTGAATTAAAACTGTGGTGTGAGGAAAGGCAATAAGCAAAAGCTGACGGTTGGTTCCTTTCTGGCCACTTAGAGGCACCCATACTTTCTGTTCCAAGAGCATCTAGGGGACAGACAGTAGGCACCAAGAAGTCGCCAGCAAGACATCCCTGTCAGATCTATTTAGCAATTCGTCTTTGGATACGGTTCCTTTAGACCAGCTGCTGCCCAGGCACCTCTTCCAAACAAGCTGCCCCAGGGAAGGTAGCTCCTGCTGTTTTGAGATTTAAAAAGTGAAATATCCCAATTGGAGGCTATGCTGAAGCCCCCGTAGCTGGAAACATGCAGGTCCGTCTTGGCAGAAACCAAGGTTCTATTTCGTACTGATCAATTTTCCCCTGCGTTAGTAGAAATGCAGCCGAGTGAAAGGTAGGAGGTCATCAATACCAACTAGTAAACTTTTATTAAATCTAGTTTTCCCCCTTGATCTTATAAATATTTCTAACCCAGGGGACGGACCTATGCACACTTGCTGGTTGTGTATATGGATCATACTAGAAATTTTAGTTTCCTTCCAGCACTTCATGGTAACATACAGAAAGAAACTACAGTGGTGCCTCGCTTAGCGATGTTAATCTGTGCAGCAAAAATCGCTGCTAAGCGATTTCATTGCTAAGCGATATTAAAAAGCCTATAGAAATGCATTAAAACGCCATTAATGTGTTCCTATGGGCTAAAAACTAACCTTTAAGCGAAGATCCTCCATACGGCGGCCATTTTCGCTGCCTCCTAAGCGAGGAATCCTCCCTAAACACAGCGGACGGTCATTTTGTTTACCCGGCGGCCATTTTGGAACCGCCGATCAGCTGGCCAAAAATGGGGGCTTGCGATGATCGCGTCCCTGCGATCATCGCAAAGCGAAATTTCCCCATAGGGAACATCGCAAAGTGATTGCTTTTGCGATTGCAAAAACATTGTCGCAAAGCGATTTCTTCGTTAAACAGAGTAATCGCTATACGAGGCACCACTGCATAAGCCAAAGTGCTCTGAACAAATGTGAATATCACACACACACACACACACACACACATACACACACACACCATTTTTGTGTAAATTTTAACAATGTATGTTAATATTCAGATTTATTTAAATGCAGTAATTGCATTTAAGGGCAGCAATGAAGGAATTAGAAAAAAATCATCAGGGGTAAGAATGTGGCACTAGAGACCAAGACCAAGATCTTCCGCACTCTTGTATTCCCGATCACCGTGTAGAGGCGTGAAAGCTGGAGAGTGAAGAAAGCAGGGAAAAACATTGATGCATTTTAAATATGGAGCTAGAGGAGAGTTTTGTAAGTTCCCTCGACTACCAGAAAGATGAACAAGTGGGTCCTAGATCAAATCAAGCCTGAAGTATCTCTGGAAGCAAAAAAAGGACAAAACTGTGGCTGTCCTGTTTTGAGAATGTCCTGAGAGCACTGGATTCTCTGGAAAAGACAAACCTGGATGGGAATGCTGAGAAAGATGGAATGCAGCAAGAAAAGAGGAAGACCCAATACGAGATGAGTGGAGTTCCTAAAGGAAGCCACGGGCTGGGGTTTGCAAGAGCTGAGCAGAGCTGTTGAATACAGGACATTTTGGAGATTGCTCTTTCATGGGGTGGCCATACATCCGGAGCGACTTGACAATCCATGACAACAATAATTGCACCTTTTTATGAAGTCAGATTCTATACTGAGTGCCAGTGACACTGGAGGTTCTGGCAGCTTTCCGTGTGCACAAAGGACTCCTACATCGTTTCTTTCCACATTGTGAACTGCCGACAAACCTTGCAATGATTATGCAGGTTGCCAGTCATAACACCGCAGGCTATTTAACTGCTCTCTGCCCTGCATAAGCAGAAACAATGTTTGTCTCTTATTCCTTTTTTAAAAATCCTACTCACAGGAGGTACACAAGAGCAAAACCTGGATGGGAATCATGGCTGCTGTTCCTATACGAGTGTGTGAGTCAAAAAAGCCCTTGGCCTTTCTCTTCCCTCCGCTGGGAAAAATGGAGGAACAGAGGGCCTGTTCACACTGGCATATACATATGGATCTCTGGGGACACAGTTTGAATCAGAGGTGGGGGAAAGACCTCGTCTGTGACTGTTACTTAGAATGATCTATCCTTCCCCTTTAAGAGCTGTCTTGCACCTTTCTGGCCCAGCAGTAAAGCATGCCTTCTTTTTGGCATGCTTGTTGTTTAGCCTGGAGATAGCCTCCAGCAGCCAAGGGAGAGTGATATAGAAAGTCTGTGTGTGTGTGTATGTTTGTGTGTGTGTGTGTGTGTGTGAGAGAGAGAGAGGGGGGGGAGGGAGGGAGGGAGGGAGGCAAGGGAAGGAGGGAAGGGGGAAGAGAGATAACAGAATGGCACTGACTGAGCAAGAGAAAAGCAATGCAAAACAATTTAATAATTTCACTTCCCCTGCCCCTCTGTAGATGATCAGGGGAAGCACTTAATCAATAGCTGACTGAGTTACAAGGGGCCATTTACTGTTCTGATGGGAGGAGCATGCCAAAGGGTACACCATTCCTCTCCCAACCTTTGTAGTCTGATCCACCCCACACCCCAAAATGACCAGTCTGAATAGGCTCAGAATGAGGGCCACCTCCGATTGCCACTTCTTACCCGTGGCATTCCGGGGACATCGGACAGCTGCCGCATCTCCTGCTGGGGTCTCTTTCCAAATCACAGAACCAAAATTATCTTCATTGCAGATTTCGTGGGGCTCTGTAAAAAAAAGAGAGAAGGTTGTGTTAAGGAAGGAAGGAAGGAAGGAAGGAAGGAAGGAAGGAAGGATATGGGAAAAAGAGACGAGAATGGCATTGAAAAAATGCCAGCTGTGTGCAAAGGAAGGAAGGAAGGAGCTGATGATGGGTGAAAGGAAGGAAGGAAGGAAGGATATGGAAAAAAGAGAGGAGACCAGAATGGCATTGCAGAGTTTGACCAAATTACTCCTAAGGAAGTATAATTTCCAGAATTTCCCACTCAGCATAGCTAACGGGCAGCAGTCCAAAAAGCAACTTTGCTCAGCTCTGAGCTCTAACTCATAAGGTTCTCCTTCTACCCCTAAGAATAATGTTACAGCCATAAACCCTCTCAAGAAAAATGCCCATACATGATTCTATAGCTTCGACGCCAGGGGAGGAGAGATGAATTTTGAGTGTCCAAGATATGAGGATAAGCTCAGCTCCTTTGCCTAATGCAGGCTTTCATGTGCGGAGAAGTTATTTATGAGACGTAAACTGGAGGAAGCTGTCAGTGCGGTATTACAGTTATTACTCATTTCTAAGCAGAGGGAGGGTGTAATATTTCACAGCCTTGAATCGCATTTCCTCGCTTATTGAGCATGTAAAGCAGCTTGTAAACAAGGTGGATGCATGCTGTCTGAGTGGGAAGGGATGAATGTCAGCAAAGCTAACCATGCCTTTGGGGAAGTTACTTTGGAAAAGTTGCTCTTGACAATGTCAGTTCCTAAAATCCCCCTGGTCTGCAATTTGGCAGATTTTTTGTACAAAACCCACTGGTTCGCCCCCCCCCATACTCTGACATTGCTGTAGTTTAGCGATTGACCTTTTTCTTCCTGGCTGAGATAGGTGTACAGTGGTGGCTCGCTTCACGATGATAATCCATTCCAGCAAAATCGCTGTAGAGCAAAATCATCGTGAAGTGAAAAAAACAACCATTGGAATGCACTGAAAACTGATCAATGCGTTCCAATGGGGGAAAATACCTGCTTGTAATGCGAAGATCCTCCATAGGGCGGCCATTTTCCAGTGCCTGTCTTGCGAAATGAGGTCCGGGAAACAGCGGGCAGCCATTTTGAGAGCCACCGATCAGCTGTTTCCAAATTGTCGTGTAGCGAAAAATCGGTTCCCGAAGCAGGGAACCGATCATCGTATAGCGAAAAAAAACACTGCAAAAAAACCCTTGTCAAACGAAAAAACCATCATGTGGGGTAAGCGTCTAGCGAGGCACCACTGCACTTTACAGGGCTGCTGGAAGGATTTAAAAATAATTACACTACTTCGGTATCCTCTTCTGTAGCCATGAGACAGGACTCTTCTTTGTTCCTTTCTGAAATCTTTGTGTCTCTTCTTCACTTTGACAGCATAGTAGGCATGGGGCTGCAGGACTTGCTGTCAAGTCAGACTTAATCACATCAGTGACTCGACTCAGATTCAGTACATCAGTCCCCCACTCCCCAATGATTTGGATTCAATTCACAACTCAGAACCCATCGTTTTTTCCTTGGGGGGGAGCTTGTTTTTAATAGGGATTTGAATTCAGGACTTGGTACCAAAGACTCAAGACTCAAGGTTGGGACTTGGACCCCAAGACGTGGCAACCTCCCTGCTCTGCAGTGGCAGTGGGTTCCTAGCGTTCTGCGCACAATAGCTGAATTTTCATTTCGTGAAATTGCGCGAGCCGTTGCGACCCATGCACCAAGGCAAATGGCGTTTATGGAAATGCTACTCAGTCACATCCAGGAAACAGTTCCGCAAGCACAGCTGTGCAGTCAGTTGCATGGAGATAGTATTCACTGTTCCAGAAATACTGGAATGAGCTGAGTTCATCCCGGGTGCCCAGCTGCTTGTGAAACCACATCCATTAGAATTCTTCCCCACTGTTGAACATTTTCATGGAACTGTGCTGCTACGAGACTTCTTCTGTGGACCATACTTGGATGCATCCACTGGTGCAGTCTACTCTCAAGGAGAGATGGGCATGAATTTTGATTTGGGGGTTCATGCCAGGATGTACGTGTGGCACCAGTTGGAGCATGTTCCTCTCCTCCTTTGCTTTGGCTGTTCGATCAGTCCCTGACAGGAGCATGGGTTTGCCTGTCCTGCTTCCATGTTTGAGTGGGTGATCAGCCAAGGAGGTGGGGCAAGGAAGCCCATGCTCCTGCTGGAGACCGGTTGAACAAGTGAAGAGAAGGAGGAGGAGAGGAGTGTGTGCTAGTTGGTGAGGGGGGGGGATCCAGCTGAGGAGGTGGGGAAGAGAATGTGCACAAACTGGCATGAACCTCCGAACCAAGGTTGGTGTCCATCTCTAGAAAGCAATGGGCACACAACTTTTAGCACACAGAAGGCATAAGGAAGTTTTTCTGCTGTGATGGTGTCCAAAAAGCTGAACCGAATCCCATCCTTCTCAGACACCATGGTCTGGCCCTGGGGAGCATGGAAGGTGTAATCCCTCCCGTTCAGTTCTAGGTTGGGGAAGTCTGGTAAGAGTTTAATTAAGCAGAGTGGTGGAGGAGGGAGAAAGAGAAAAAGAGAGAGAAAGAAAGCAAATTCCAGCAGCTCAGTCAGTGGTACATTTTGGGTCTCTTCTCTCCACAGTCCAAATCACTAACCATTTTTCTCACCCTCCAAATGCCGACTAGGATACGAGGATTTCCCCAGGGGCGGCTCCATTTCATAGTATTCCCTGAATACCCCTGGATCTATTCCATCTACACCAGCATTGCCAACTTTGGCTGGCCGTCCCAGTCCCCGACAGCTTCAGCCAGGATTCTTTCCTCACCCTTCTTGAGATCCCTGGTATTCTCTGGCTATCCCCCTTGACATATTGTCCAGATCTTACTCTGGATAGTTTCCTAAATCAGACAAGTTCATGTGCATCCCGGTTCAGGAGGCGGTAAGAGCCGTTGGGTATTCTCACTGGGAAACTAGTGTGTGCCACAAACGGATAATGCAGGCGTGTTGATGCATGGGTGGTAATTTATCTGTGAAGATTCTCAGTCATCCAAGTGTGGCTATCTGGAGGTTAGGTGTCACGGCAACTGGACTTCTTTCTTGTTAAGTCAAAACATTTCGCTACTCCTCGGACTGACGAAGCTACTTGGAGGAGTAGCAAAATGTTTTGACCTAACAAGAAGTCCAGTTGCCATGACTCAACGTCCAGATGGGTGGTCATTGTGCAAAACTAGGGTTGAACCCAGTAAGGAGTGTTTGCCCCATAATGCACCCTAGACCATCTCTCTCTGCAGGATGGGCAGGAAGCTCTCCTGGTGATGTGCCCTTCCATCTTAATTTTTCCAACTTCCCTTCTCGAGCTAAGCCGCACTCCTGGGAAGCAGAGCATGACACGCCTCATTAGGGATACATGTTAGAAATGCACTTCGCCGCCTTGCTGTAGAGTGTTGGGAGTGAGTCTTGGCTCATGATCCCTGTAATTTTAATACCTCTTTGTAACAAAATCCTTTTTACAAAAGGAAGCACACAGCCCTGGGAGAACTGAACATCTGACTCAATTATACCCCCTTCCTCCCACCTCCTTTGGTCTTTTTTGTAAAAAAATAAAAAAAATAAAAGATTATAGTGGTGTTCGATGTTCTTTCTCTTTCCAGGTCAAAATAAAATTTACTATTCTTTTTAAACACTGATCTGATGGCTGGAGAATTCAGCCCCCCCATGCTCTCAGAGGGAGAACGACAGCAGGGAGAAAGGGTGAATCGCTCTGCAAGCTGATCGCATGTAGAGGGTGCTTGACATTAGGCTGGGGGCCACGTAAAATGAACCCATGGGCTGAATGGGTCCCTGAGGCCACAGGTTACCAACCCTGTGCAAGACATAAGCCCAGGAACCATTGTGGATGGTAAGCATGCCAGTAACTCTGAAGGTGGCATGGTCAACGACAGGTGCGTATGCTCTCAACCAGTGGGATGAACACCAGTTGGTTGATGCAGAAAGAGGTCTCAGAGTGTGCTGCTTATATACCACCTTCATAGTATTTAAAACACTCTCTGGACAGTTTTCCATTGAATTATGCAGGCTACGCATTGCTCCCACTGCTGAGAATTCAGTTAATCAACCTCGGATGGACGGAAGGTTGAGTTAACTTTGACTCAAGATGTTCCATTCATCTCCACAAGGAGACTGGTGTTTTCTGAGAGTTACTTGTTTCAACTACGTTTCCCATGAACCCCCAGCCAGCATGCCTGATTTCTTCCTTATCACTCATAGGGAAGTGGCACCTCTTTTCAGAAGCAAAACCATGTGTGAGAATTCTTCTCCTTCAACTTTTGAACTCTACCAAGGTTGATTTTTCAGTCCTTTTTTTGTAATTGGTTTACTGGATTATTGGATTATTTATTTATTTATTACACTTTTATATCTCACCATCTGGCCTAGGGCCACCTTTGGGGGGGGTGTACAATGGAGATCTAAACACAATTAATGATCCTAAAACACGATGTAACAAATTGAGATGATGTCATAAATTAAAATAACCAACAGAATTAAAAAAAAACAGAAACCAACTACAGCAAGTTAAATGGATCAACAAATAAAAATTCAGAATTAATAAACATTAAACGCTGACAACATTAAAAACAGGCGGTGGTGACAGGTGTTAAATAGGCATCCTCCGTTGTCTATGAGAGGGAATGGATTGAAACACCGGTCTGAATGGAAAGGATTTTGGAAGAGTTCCTGAATATTGCCAAGAAAGGGGCCAGGGGGCTGATATCGGACTGAAGTTCATTCCACAATTGGAGGCAACCACAGAAAAGGCTGGAGGAGATCTTGAGAGTCCCCTGGACTGCAAGGAGAACAAACCTATCCATTCTGAAGGAAATCAGCCCTGAGGGCTCACTGGAAGGACAGATCCTGAAGCGGAGGCTCCAGTACTTTGGCCATCTCATGAGGAGAAAAGAGTCCTTGGAAAAAACCCTGATGTTAGGAAGGTGTGACGGCAAGAGGAGAATGGGACGACAGAGGACGAAATGGATGGACAGTGTCATCGAAGCGACCGACATGAACTTGACCCAACTCCGGGAGGCAGTGGAAGACAGGAGGGCCTGGCGTGCTCTGGTCCATGGGGTCACGAAGAGTCGGACACGACTAAACGACTAAACAACAACAACATGTTGCCACTTAGACACAGAACATGAGGTGACCTGAAGAGAATCAGGCATGGTTACAAAAAAGGTGCCTATTAAACAAGGGGAGGGAAGGGGCCAGGCGCAGCTCCACCGGGAGTTGGCTCCAGAGTGTTGGTGCCACAGTAAAGAAGGCCCTGCTTCTAGTGGGTGATCTCCTGACCTCCCAAAGGAGGATCGCGTGGGGAGACCCAGTGGTGTGGTTAGATGACAACATTGTGGACCAAAATCACCTTGGAACGCGATCTACTTACCTGGACATCGCTTCTCGTTGCATTGCTTGTACTCCTCTTTGGGGCCCTGGCAGACGTTCCCCCCAAAGAAGGGGCCGTAGCAGGTGCGTTCGCGCTTTTGCGTTCCGCCTCCACATGTGGCCGTGCATCCCCCCCACGGGCCCCACACTTGCCATTTGCCATCCACTGCAGGAGGAGGAAGAGGAGAAGAAGGCAACAAAGAAGATGAGACAAATCATCCTCCAATGTGAAAATGAAACCCAACCTGTTCCATCCATTTGGCCTCTTCAGTGTGAAAGGCACAGGTCTATGGGTAGCAGAGCATTCCCTGTAGTCCTTCTGGAGCAACTGGTTGGGTCTAGGGCAGTGGTTCCCAACCAGATGCTCCCAGGTGTTCTTGGACTAAGACTCCTAGAAATCCTGACCAGCCCAGTGAAGGACTACAACTCCTAGAAATCCTGACCAGCCCAGTGAGAGGTGAAGGCTTTTGGGAATTTTAGTCCAAGAACGTCCGGGGACCCAAGGTTGGGCACCCCTGCCCCAGTGGATCGGAATTCCTTCAGAAAAAGCTCAGGTTGCACAATTTCAATTTAGAAAAATTGGAAAGCTGGAATGGAACGACTCTTCTGTTCATACACTGAGCAGAAATCGGACCCTTAGTCTCTAACTTAAGCTTAAGGTGTTTCAGTCTATGTATTCAGTGGTGCCTCGCTAGACAGTTACCCCGCACGACAGGTTTTTCATTAGACATTGACTTTTTGCGATTGCTATAACGATTCATAAAACAATGATTCCTATGGGGGAATTTCGCTGGACAATGTTTGGTCCCTGCTTCGCAAACCGATTTTCGCTAGACGATGATTTTGACAGCTCCCTCCGCGCTTGCAAAACGGGTGTTTTCAGGACCTAAGCTTCGCAAGGCAGCTATTTAAACAGCTGATCGGCGGGTCGCAAAGCGGCTTTCTTATGGCCGATCTTCGCTAGATGACAATTCTTCCCCATTGGAACTCATTAAACAGGCTTCAATGCATTCCAATGGGGAAATGCTTTTCGCTAGACAATGATTTCGCTAAACAGCGATTTCAGTGGAACGGATTATCATCGTCTAGCGAGGCACCACTGTATAGGGGAAGTAAAATGGAATAGCAAATTCTTTGTGTATCTTTACATAGTTTATTGCCTGTGTGTAGTTGCATGTGAGAGTCAGTGCTGTGTAGTAGATAGACCAGGACTCAGGAGATTTTGGTTCAAATCCTTGCCTGTTCATGGGAACTCACTGGATCCTGGCAACAGTAAACCACAACATCTCCCTCACCTGAAAAATCCTATCAAGGTTGTGTGCATGCATGCATGCATGTACACACACGCGCACACAGACACACACCCCATACCCAGTTTGGTCTATGCTTGCTTGTTGTCACAACCGTCAACTTCATTTACAATTGGAAACCTTGCCAAGTGTCCTGTTCTTGCATTTTCTCTTCAAAAAGACCCCCCCCCCTGAACGGGTACAAGACTTGTTCAAGTGCAGTTGGTGCAACTGGACTGACACGTCTTCGTGCCAACTCCGCAGGTGTGCCATTATTTCGCCCCCGCCATGGAGAAGCGGAGATTCAGAGAAGGTCACCCCCCTCTGCCTCTTTTCCACCCACCTCCCTGTTGACCTTTCAAGGCGGAGGCTGCAGAGAGAGAGAGAGAGAGACAGAGAGACAGAGAATGAGAGAGAGAGAGAGAGATGATGCACCTTCCAACGTGAGCTGTGCATCGGTTGGGTACCGAAAGGCACAAGATGTCCAAGCGACTCACCTGGACACTGTCGAAGGAAGCAGTCCCGGGTCTCTACCCAGTGCCCCTGGCACTCCGCGCCCCCGTAGGACGGCCCGTTACACTCCCTCGTCCGCTGCTGGGTGCCGTTGGCACAGGAGGTGGAACAGGAACTCCAGCTCGACCAGTCATTCCAGTTGCCGTCCACTGAGTGGCCCAAAGAAGGAAAGGGGAAAAGGCAGAATGTGAACATCGCTTTGGCACAAGGGGGTAGCAACCCCAGCCACCCACCCATCCAAGTTCTCTGGCTTGAGGAGAGCTTGGCTGAGCTCAGCCACCACTACCAAGGGAAGGCATCTCTCTTGACAACTTAGGTCTGTTATATTTTAGGAAAGTTCTGGATGGTCTGAATGACGAAGGCCATCATTGTCCATTCTAGAAGTTCAACCTTGGGAAAGGAGTACGACAGGGCTGTATATTGTCCCCCAGGTTTATTTAACTCATATATGAAGAATACGTCATGCGGAAGGCTGGACTGGAGGAATCCCAAACCGGAATTAAGATTGCCGGAAGAAACATCAACAACCTCCGATATGCAGATGATACCACTCTGATGGCAGAAAGTGAGGAGGAACTAAAGAACCTTGTAATGAGAGTGAAAGAGGAGAGTGCAAAAAACGGTCTGAAACTCAACATCAAAAAAACTAAGATAACGGCCACTGGTCCCATCACCTCCTGGCAAATAGAAGGGGAAGACATGGAGGCAGTGACAAATTTTATCTTCCTGGGCTCCATGATCACTGCAGATGGAGACAGCAGCCCTAAAATTAAAAGACGCCTGCTTCTTGGGAGGAAAGCGATGACAAATCTGGACAGCATCTTAAAAAGCAGAGACATCACCTTGCCAACAAAAGTCTGAATAGTCAAAGCTATGGTTTTTCCTGTCGTGATGTATGGAAGTGAGAACTGGACCATAAAGAAGACAGATCGCCAAAGAATTGATGCTTTTGAATTGTGGTGCTGGAGGAGACTCTTGAGAGTCACCTGGAGTGCAAAGAGAACAAATCTATCCATTTTCTGAAGGAAATCAAACCTGAGTGTTCACTGGAAGGACAGATCCTGAAGCTGAGGCTCCAATCCTTTGGCCACCTCATGAGAAGAGAAGACTCCCTGGGAAAGACCCTGATGTTGGGAAAGTGTGAAGGCAAGAGGAGAAGGGGACGACCGAGGATGAGATGGCTGGACAGTGTCTGCGAAGCAACCAACATGAATTTGACACAACTCCGGGAGGCAGTGGAAAACAGGAGGGCCTGGTGTGCTCTGGGCCATGGGGTCACGAAGAGTCAGACACGACTAAACGACTAAACGACTAAGACAAATGTGGCTCGCCTGGGGAAAAGGCCTAAAGTGGAAGGCTGTGAGGTTTAGCTAGGCCTAGTTATGCCAAGCTTCCTGCTGAGGAAGAAAGCTCTCAGCTAGCCCTGGGCTGAGCTAAATCTCAGCACTTCCCGTTTAGGCCTTTCTCTCCGCCGCATCATCCTTAGGTGTCTGTATGGGGGGTAGAACTGCCAGAATGAACCATGGTCTTTTGTAGTCCAGGAAAATCCCAAAATCCCATCCCTATCAGCTTGTCCTTATGGGCATGCAGTGTGTGCACCCTTTGCTTTGAAAAGGGAACAAATGATTTGCAAAATACGGAGAGCCCAGCCCAGAAAACAAAAGCCCTCGTCTCCCTCCTGAGAAAGGGCGAGATTTTCTACAAGGAATTTGGTGAATTTTCTTCACACCCCTGCCTCTCCCACACAAATAGCAGGGGCTCCCCACTGGGAAATCCCACACACTTTGTTCCCGGAAGAATCTGGGTCCCAACAACTCATGTTTCCTTGCTAAAAAAGCAAGGATGGAGACTCCGGTTGTGGGAGTCTCGCTCAAGTTGGACTTAAGTTGCACCAGTGACTCAACTCAAACTCAACTTATGATGCGGAACCCATCCCTTCCCTTTTTCCCCGTGGGTGGGGGAAAGCTCATTTTACTCAGACTTAGAGTTAGGGACTCCTAACCAAAGACTCCTACTCAAAGTTGGGACTCGGGACCAAAGACTTGCCAATATCCCTGCTAAAAAGTCATCTTTGGCATCAACAGGGAGATCTGGGGGCTGGGATTACTGCATGTGTGGGTGGGTGGCTGCACAAATGACCACAGAGGTCCATGTGGCATGGCCCATCTCAGTCTTGTGATCTGCAGGCTGCCTGCCCTGATCTGATCTGAGGTGCCAAAGGAGAATAGATTGAACGGACCACTTCTAGCAACCGAAGGAGCCATGGAACGTAAACATTTTGCTAGATTTAGAGAGCAGCTTTCATGCCAAAACACACGCGGCAAGACAGAGAGAAGCGTGTTTATAGAAAAACAATTTACTGAATTCCCCCAGGGCTACTTTTCTTTCTTTCTTTCTTTCTTTTTAAACGTCAAAGCTGCCTCCCTTTTGACAAGATAGTTTTGTCACCGGCGGCTCAACATTGCTTCCTTTCTGTAATCTGTGCCTATGTCAGGGATGATTGACGCTGGCAGAAGGAATGCCGTGATTCCATCGGGTTGCTTCTGGATGGCAAGTGGAGGGATGCCAAGACGGGCCTGCTTCAAACGCCAAGGGTCCAGTCCTCAAGGCACAATCTGGGGCCTGCTGGAGATTTTACTCTCTGGCAGCATCTGGCCAGCCGAAGGCTATTGTTGAACAGAGGGCTGTAACCAAAGCAGAGCAACCAGCAGGGGTAGGGTCTCAAGTCATGGGATTCAAGGTCATGTTGGATTTAAGTCTCACCGATGACTTGACCCAGACTCATTTTCCCCCCAATGACTTGGACGTCACTCGTGACTTGGAACCTTGTTTTTAATAGGGACTTGGTACGAAGGACCTGGACTTGGAACTTGGTAGAAAAGGACTTGGGACTTGGTACAAAGGGACTTGGTACTTGGTACGAAGGACTTGGACTTGGAAATTGGTAGAAAAGGCCTTGGGACTTGGTACAAAGGGACTTGCCAGCATCCCTTCCTGGCAACCAGGCTTTGCCCAGGGCGACAGCATCTGAAGGATCCTGAATTTTCGAGGGGATGCTGGATAGCAATGGGGAAATGAAGCACAGCACTTCCTGTCTCTATTTTCTCCCTTGCCAAGCATAAACTTTGTGTTTCCTTTGGGGAGGGGACCCCACATTCTCCTCCTTTATGGGGAGGGGTTGGCCCCCTCATGCCTCATGACAGAGTGTGTGGGAAATGACACCTTTGTTCTTAGGACTGAAATGGCTACTTATGGCTCTGTTTGCACCCACAGTGCCATGCCTGCAGCACTTAACTAACACAGAGACAACAAAGACCTCCATCAAGCACATCACCTACCAAAAAACCCTCATGCAAAGAGCAGGTTTGAAATGAGATATGAATACTTTTATTTATGGGGCAGATATTTCTTAAAGTACTTCCGAGTGAGACAGATCGGTGCTAATTATTCTGGGGAGCTTCTGCGCATTAGCAGAAGGCTCATTATCTCCGCGGAAGAATGATATCTTGAGGGTCAAATCTTGACAAAATGTAAGGCTCAAGGGATCCAGGAAGTTACTCTGATGGCTCCCATGCATTAAACCACTGCCAATTCAACCACCATGTCCAGGTGCTCATAAACTGCAAACAAGCAGATGGGAACAAACAGGTGTTTGCAAAAGAGGGAGCTTCAGAAAGTGAGCCAAGCCAGAAGGGTGAAGATACTTAGAGTCACTTCCTTCCTCGTGGTAATAGTCAGCATGTCAGCCATTCATGCTATGTACAAAAGAACAGAAGAAGCAACCTGTCAGATCAGAGCAAGGATCTTTCCCCTCTTATTTATTTAAAATGTTTTTACACCAACCTTCTCCTGAAAAAGGACCCCTTAAAGGAGTGGTCCCCAACCTTGGGCCTCCAGATGTTCCTGGACTTCAACTCCCAGAAATCCTGGCCATTAGAGGTGGTGGTGAAGGCTTCTGGGAGTTGCAGTCCAAGAACATCTGGAGGCCCAAGGTTGGAGTCCGCTGCCTTAAAGGACAATAATCAAAGCTTTTAAAAAGTGTATAAAAGGGGGACTTATATCATTAAAGGACAATGTTCAAAGCTAAAAAGAATTATACAAAAGTGGCTTACCTCATTAAAAGACAATATTTAAAGCTAAAAATGAGTATGCAAATACTAAAAAGGATTTTAAAAAAAATCACTTTGAGAAACGGTAAACAAAAGCAAAATTAAAAACACATTCAAAGCAGAAACAAGAATCCATTTTAAACTCCCACTCAGGCAGCCAGTCTTTAAGGGAAAGCTTATCTGGAGAGAAAGGTCTTTGCCTGCTTGCAGAAGGACAGCAAAGATGGGGCCAGCTTGGCCTCCAGTGGGAGGGAGTTCCACAGTCTAGGAGCAGCCACAGAGAAGGCCCTCTCCCGTGTCCTCATAAAAAGGAGTCTGTGATCCTGTGTCCCACAGTGGGCACCAGAAATGTATTATATTTATTTAGCATCATTTGTAGACTGTCTTTTTTCCAATGAGGGGACTCAAGGCGGCTCACATTATAACGAGAAGAATTAAAAACACAATCAATTGTGCATAGGAATGTGATGAGTAATCTTACAGTTTTTTCTTCTTGGTGATTTTCTGGGTCATGCCATGCTGAAACTCCTTGGCAAGAGTCTCTCTGTCTCCCCACATCAGCAACCTTTCCTGGCTTTTATTTAGGAGCTTGCCTGGGTGTTCACATCATCAGGATACATTATAACGAGAAGAATTAAAAACACAATCAATTGTGCATAGGAATGTGATGAGTAATCTTACAGTTTTTTCTTCTTGGTGATTTTCTGGGTCATGCCATGCTGAAACTCCTTGGCAAGAGTCTCTCTGTCTCCCCACATCAGCAACCTTTCCTGGCTTTTATTTAGGAGCTTGCCTGGGTGTTCACATCATCAGGATAGACCTTTCTTATTTAGGAGCTTGCCTGGGTGTTCACATTGTCAGGCGAGACCTTTCTCTCAGTCCCACCACCCTCACAAGTGGGGACACAGGAAGGAGCCTTCTCTGTGGCTGCTCCCAGAGACTTTGGAACTCCCCGCCACCAGAGGCCAGGCTGGCCCCATCTTAGCTGTCCTTCCTCCAGAATCTGAAGTTTCCAAACATTCTTCAAAAAGCAGCCCAACACAGATGATGTGACAGTAGTTGAAGCAGGATGTAATTTAAAGACATGTCACTGCAATCAAATCAGGCACTTCCAAGGTCATGAGCAGTTGGTACACTAGCTTTAACAGTGCAAATATCCTCCCAGCCTCTGTTAATACCTTGGCATCTATGCCCAGGCCTGAATTCAGGCAAACATCAATGCTGCAGTTCTGATTCTTCACAGGGAGTATCACCCCATCCAGCACAGGTAGAACTCCTATTCCCTAATGTGCCTTTTAGTTGCCTGGGAGGACCTCTTTCTTGCCAGTATTGATTTTCACTTGGTTTGACCTCTGTTCTGTTACTGTCCTCAGACACTGGTCAAATCCCAGTCCGGGTCCTGGCAAAGGAAGGGGGCATCCATCAAGGTACCCCAAAACAGTTTTTACCCCGTAAGGTAAAGGTTCCCCTTGACCTTGAGTCCAGTTGTGACCGACTCTAGGGCATGGCGCTCATCTCCATCTCCAAGCCATAGAGCCAGGGTTTGTCCGAATACCGTTTCTGTGGTCACGTGGCCAGTGCAACTAGACACGGAATGCCGTGACCTTCCCACCGAGGTGGTCCCTATTTATCTACTTGCATTTTTACATGCTTTTGAATGGCTAGGTTGGCAGGAGCTGGGACAAGCGACGGGAGCTCCCTCCGTTGCGTGAATTCGAACTTACGACGGCTGGTCTTCCAATCTTGCAGCACAGAGGCTTCTGCAGTTTAACCTGCAGTGCCACCACATCCCTTTTACCCCGTAGCCATGCATTCTTGGAGGTGGAAGGTGACCAGACCACAAAACACGTTGCCCAAGGACAGACTATTGCAGCCTAGCCAGGAATGATGCGGTGGCCACGGATGTCCAGTAAACTCTGGGAACTGCAATCAAAAAAGCCACTTTTCCAAGATCTGAATAAGGGCAGTATCTAATATGTGGGTCTAAAACACTAGAGGGAGGAAAATTTCACACACCCCGGAGAACTCTAGAGCAGTGGGCGAAAGGTGCTCCCGGCAGTCCTAGGACCCTTCCTTCCACTCACATCCGGTCCAACCACCATGGCCGAACGTTCTCTGTTTAATTAAGATCCGAGGAGGAAGCAGCAGGCTTGTGAAAAACAGCATTCGAAAGCCTTGCCAAGCCTTTCATTCTGAAAGTCCAGTAGTTTTAATTATCAGATCTCCCGGCACCCAATCAAACGGCCGTCAGGAAGCCGCAATCCGAGCCGAGCGGTGGCTGCAATTAGACCATCTTTCCTCCATGATTTTTTAAATCTCCTCCCTGCTCTTTTCTAACAAGCAACCCATTCTCCCACAATCACCATCACCGTGAAGTGATTGTCTGCATTGACCCTGCCATGGGGAGTTCTCCTTGTTGGCAGTTATAAATCTCAGAAGCAATGAGCACAAGGCCGTCAGTCACAGGAGAGGTGCTATAACCCCGAACTGCTCTCCTGGCCACATCTCTGCTCTCTTCCCTTCTGCAGTCCGGTGCTTATTTGGCAGATGATCCTCTTCGTGCTCCCCAGCAGACAGTCATTAGATCAGACGGAGCCAGCAGTGGATGGTCTCCCTCTGGATGGCTTGTGCCCGGTCTCAACATACCTCTCGTCAACCCATCAGCCTGCCACAATTACAGTAAATTCACATCCTGGTGCAAACCAGAAGCGCCCGGATTGTTTGTTAAGAGCCTGATGGCTCTCTGGAAGGCTCCCAGTGCAGATAAAGCCCTCTGAAGCAAGGATGCAATCATCTGAAGAAAAATCTTAAATGTGGTGGTCGCTATCTCTCTGGATCCACCTCCACAGGCTAGACAGACAGATATGATACACTTCAAGAACATTTTCTGGCCTTATTTTGAGTTTCAGTCTGCGGCTTCGATCCACCTGCGCATTTCAAATGTAACCGGGTGATTCTGAGCGTTGTACATTTGACTCATCTGCCTTCTTCCGAGTCCTGCAACTTGGCTTATTGGCTCGAGAGAGCAACGGTTCCTTGTTCTTGTTTCTCCCAATTAACCCATTTTCCTTTTTGAATGGGCTTTTCTCCAAGGGATGTCCTATACCGATTGGACTTGCGTATTACTTTAGCAGTCACCTTCCAGCGTGCAACCACAAAACAAAGCATGCCAAAAGCAAGGGCCGTAGGTGAAGAAAAATCACACGACGAAGAGACAGATTTCACCACTAGAGGGGCACCCCTCTTTTAAGCTCACCTTTGGCCATGTGTGTCACCTCATTTTAGTTTGCATTATTTGTCTCCAAGGGTCATTCACCTTAAAGTACTATTTGCACAATACTGGTCCATATGCATAAAGATTCATCCCCTTTTCGTTCTCCTTTCAGCTGGAGAGCTTTCAAAACACCTTGCCCTCTTGCAGAGCGAGGAAAATGCTTTTAAAGTTCCTCCTCCTCGGATGAGCTTTACATCTCTAGGAACCAAAAGGTATCGCAAACGGTGTGCACAGAATTAATAAACTAACAAGAAATCCGGATAGACCGAGGGAGAATTTTTAATGCCTCACTTCTGTTGCAGAGAGAAAACCAGGTGACTCGGAATGCTTCCAGGGAGAAATTCAGAGTAGAAGCATTTTAGCATTTAAGACAACGGGCACAATGCATGACCGCTTTGCAGGTGAGCAAAAGCTTCTTTTCCCTTGGCACCCCCCTGTCAGCTGAGAGAGTTGACCACTGGGAAAAATCAACGGGGAAAGTTTCTTTCACAACTTACCTGGGCAAAGCGCAATATTGCAGAACTTGGTTTGCTTCTCAGGCCCCTCGCAGGGGTTGCCACCAAACTGAGGAGGTTTGCAGGTCCGGGTCCGATCCCGGTAACCACGCCCACAAGTTGACGAGCAGAGACTCCAAGGAGACCACTCATCCCACGTCCCGTGGACTGGAAAGGAAATGGAGAAACTCAAGCCCATCAGCTCCACCACGTCCATAATGCCCTTGACATGTATCCTTGTTTCTCTGTTTCCCGGTGATATTCCCCATTTATTTTACTTAAATGCAACAGCTGGAGGAAACATCTGAGAGTGAGCTACCCCAGCCCATGAGAGGACCTGAGAGCTCTTCATTAAAATTCTCCTAGCTTAGAAAGAAAGTTCAATTACCTAGCAGGTTTGGGGTGCATAAAGACCCTTCAGTACCAATTTCTTGTCCACACATACCCATTCATGTCCTGTCTTTTCCTCAATACATGCTAAAGTCAATCTCTCTCCTCTCAGTCCGAGTGGCCTTTGCATGTCTCATCGTAATTCCATTTCTGTATTCATTTGCATTTCAACATACATATTTAAGTGTGTCATTTCTTTTAATGCTCAATGTGTTTCCTCAATACATGCTAAAGTCAATCTCTTTCCTCTCAGTCCAATGGGCCTTTACATGTCTCACCCGTAATTCCATTTCTGCATTCATTTGCATTTCAACATATCTATTTCAGTGTGTCATTTCTTTTAAAACACATACTCAGATACTGTTGCGCGGCTCAATGTGCACTCCTACCATCTCTACTCAGAGGGAGGTCCCAGTGAACACAACAGAGCTTACTCACCATTCAGAATGTATGGGACTACAAGACATGCTTCATAGCTACATAAAGTCCTAAGGGTGATGATGATGATGCAACTATTTTTAAAGGGAAGTTCAAAAAATATAAATTTCCGTTCAAGAGTCATTTTTCAGGCAGCACCTCTGGAAGCCAATATTGCTACCACCAAGCTGCATGAATGCATGGTGAATGGGTTGCACAAGGCAACATACTGTATTTTTCCATGTATAAGACACCCCATGTATAATACGCCAAAGTAAGAAATCTAAGTGGGACTTAGTAAGTATAGGGGATGATGATGATGCAACTATTTTTAAAGGGAAATTCAAAAAAACGCAACTCTCCGTTCAAGAGTCATTTTTTCAAGCAGCACCTCTGGAAGCCAATCTTGCTACCACCAAGCTGCACAAATGCATGGTGAATGGGTTGCACAAGGCAACATACCGTATTTTTCCATGTATAAGACACCCCAGTTTTCTAACCCAAAATTAAGAAATCTCAGTGGGACTTAGGAAGTGTATGAGGAAAGGGATCAAAGCCCTGAAGGATCACTTTGACCCCTGCTTTCCCTTCCACTTGTTTTTGTTCTCTTCTCAGCTTACGTCCGTGTATAAGATGACCCTCAATTTTTATTCTAAAGATTTTAGACAAAAGTATAGTCTGATATGTGGAAAAATATGGTACTTTTTTCTGAGGTCTCTGGTGATTGAAAAGATGTGTTTGGGTGGGATCTGAGATTGCAAGGAATAACTGGATATAATCATTTTTGGAAGGTGGATTTCAGTAGCTAGTGAAATCTCCAAACCTCAAGAAACAGAATCAAGTATGCAACCATCATCGTTCATCATTATCATCCAGATACATGTTAAGGGTGTACAACAGCGACAATACAACGGTTAAGTCAATAGCTGAAGCCAAAGTAATTCAGATTTCTTCCTTTCCTTATCTAAATGCAGGTGTGCATGGCTCCAGAAACCTGCTCTAGATGGTCTCCAAAGGTGAATAAATGTTACGGGAAGGAAGAGGAGTCAATGCATCTCACGGAAGAGGGAGAATACATCAAAAATTAGGGATGTGAACAATTGTGAACAACACCTCATTTGGGGACAGAGGCAGTCTGTCTCAACACAAAAAGACAGGCTGTTAAGGGATTTTGAGCTGCTCCAAATCACAGAAGAAAGGTGAATAAATGTTACGGGAAGGAAGAGGAGTCAATGCATCTCACGGAAGAGGGAGAATACATCAAAAATTAGGGATGTGAACAATTGTGAACAACATCTCATTTGGGGGCAGAGGCAGTCTGTCTCAACACAAGAAGACAGGCTGTTGAGGGATCTTGAGCTGCTGCCTGAGTTTGTGTCTCCAAATCACAGAAACATGGCGTTGGAAGGGGCCTTGAAGGCCATCAGGTCAAACCCCCTGCTCAAGGCAGGAATCCAAATCAGAGCAGATTTAACAGATGGTTGTCCAATATTCTTTTGAATGCCTCCAGTGTTGGAGCACTCACTACCTCCCCTTCAGGTCATTCTTTCCATTGTTGTACTGCTCTAACTGTTGAGTAGCTTTGCCTGATATTCAGCCTAAACCGGGCTTCCTTTAGCTTGAGCCCATTGCTATGTGTCCTGCACTTTGGGATGACTGAGAACAAATTCTGCCCTTCCTCTGTAGGACTACTATACCAAGAGGAAGACACAAATCTGGACTTTTTCTTGTCACTGTGTTTTGCAGTTTGTGCCCCAAACATCTCCAAAACTTTTGTGAAGTTAAGAAAGAAAGAGAGTGAGTGAGTGCCTGCACACACGTGAACGGAAAGAGGCCAGCTGATTGATTATTAAGACCCAAACAATCCATCCAGCATTTTCAGCTTTGGATGGTTCAGGCGAGACAACGGCGGTCCAATTTTGCACACTTACAAAAATGTGGCAAACCCAGTCTTCCAAATGTGCAGGCTGCCTCTAAGATCAAGCAAACGAAACCTCCCCACCTTGAAAAACACTTCTCTGCTATCCTGTTTGATGTGTGAAATGAAGACAAGCTAGGATTTACCTGCCTAGTGGAAAAAATTAAATCTTTGAGTCTGGGCTCAGTACACAGGCTTCTGAATCCAGCATTTTTATTTGCAGCAAGTAGTGAGAGAGAGAGAGACAGAGGGAGAGAGAAGACACACTGCCTGGTTGTTTGGAGAGCAAGAAAAATTATGGGCTGGAGGTGAAGGATATGAGTTACCTGGACAGACCGCAGAATTGTTGCATTGGCGCTGTTCCCGGAGGGGCCCGCTGCATTGAGTGCTGTAGGAATACGACACGCAGAATCTCGTCCTTGTCTGCCAGCCCTCCCCACAGGTGGTGGAGCACATGCTCCAGGGCGACCACTCCTCAGCGGCTGGATCCCCTGTCAGAGGTCAGAACACAGCAAACCTTGGTCATCCCAACGTGGTCCAACATGGCCTGTCTCAACTCTCTAGCGTGTTTGCAAAGTTGACCAAAGTTTTTTTTTCAATCCTTTAGCATGGAAAAGGCAACCACATTCACTGCTGTGATTTGCAAATCGCTTTGTGATTTCTAAGACTTACTAGCACCTCTTCCCTGGCCTAGAAGTCCAGATTACAGTGCAGTAGCTCTCCTGTATCTGGATTCGAAATTAATTCAGTTTGAGCGGTGTAAACATTAAAAGCACATTTTAAACACCAAAGGAAACAAGGGTGAGCCAGACATGCCTCTGTTCCATCCGAGCCTTGAGCAATATTACAGCTTCATGTGTCAAGGGTTTAGGGTCCTGGAAAGGCTCTCCACCGGACTGCTTTCTTACAGATTAGTTTATTGCATTTTTGGCATGGGACTCAGTTCCAAATGTATGTTCATTACAGGAAATCTGTACCTATTGCTCAGGATCCACCCTCAATTGAGCCTCTTCTTTCCCATTGCATTGATTTCAATGGGAGAGGGAAGCATGTGCTCAAAATGTGTTCTAAAAACGGAAAGGTTATCAATGGGCTCAAATTCAGCTGGATCAGACCCGTGCTTGCTTATTTGCATCCATTTCCTTTTTTGTCAAGATATCCCAGGCACCGGTGTTTTCAGAAAGGACTGGAAACAAATTCTCGGTTACTCTTTGAACTCCCACAAAGCGTAAATTGAGGGTAAAAAAATAACCCAGTCTTCCACCCTATTACTGCAGTTTTGCTTGTCGTTTGTGTCATGAACTTCATACTCTGCTCTTTTTTAAAAAAAATCCATGGGCAATTCTTAAATGTTTTGGGGAGTTATTTCTTAGACGACAACTTCCAGAATTCACCAGCTATGCCAGTCATGACACCATTGGCCCCCCCAACCCTCTTTCATAACCACACTTTCCAGCTAATGTGGTTGCAATGCACAGTATCAATCAATGACACGTTGAGTTCCCAGCCTAGGACCCTTCCGATTTCCCTCCTTTTAACTTCTGTCCCAAGAAGACATCTGGGGACCCCTTGGTATGGGCCATCACTGGAGAGTTGAATCCCATACCTATTTGAGGTGCAGGGAACCCGTACTGCTGGAGCTCATCCATGTCATCTCGCTTCCGGGTATCCGTGGACCTGAGCGACTGGCTTCGGGAACTGTAGTGCCCATTAGCTACGGGGGAAAAGGTAGCCAAGGTGAATAGAACAGCCATGATCTCTGCAAAAACTTTTTAAATTTCCTTCTCTCCCCGCTCCCCAAATGCTGAAAAAAAAATTGTAGCACGTTGAGGTATTTGCTCCATTGGCTCTTTCTCCATTGATCCGTGGTCAATTATGCGGACCATTGTCCTGCTGAAACTGCAAAAGGGGAAGCGCCGATTGATTTTATTCCTGGCATGCAACTATTAAGGACAACAGATCTCTCGTAGGGCCCATATTGACAACACTGTTTTAATCAGGCTTAGGCAAAAGGGCCCAGACCATCTCCCCTCTGTCCAGTTCAGCTTCACTGAACATTTTCTTCCTCACAAATGCCAAAGATAGAAATTATTCAGAACAAGTTATTTCCACAGTTACAGGGTGATGAAGATGTTCTTACAAACTTAGAAAGTCCCTACAACCTACGAGAAAGCAGTCCAGAGACGTCTCAGTACATGACTCATGGGTTTTGTAGTCTTCAAATGTGTTACCCATACATGAGCACCTGCTAGGCATTACAGTTATCTATTTCAGTTATTTAAATACCACCCAATTAGTGCAAAGCACTGCTCTGGGTAGTTGATCATAAAATATTAATCCACAATCCACCCACACCCACACCAATCTCAATTTGACTCAATCGGATAACTATCCCACAACAGAGAAAGCAAAGAAAAATAAAACACATTTTTAGTTGGCCAGTTCACATGCTGACGGTTCCTTCAAGGGGGGGGGGGAGGATCTCTTGAAATGCTTCCTCAAAAAGACAGGTCTTTACCTGCTTCTTGAAGGTTGGGAGGAAGGGGGTTGACCAATTTCCACCAGCAGGCTGTTCCAAATATGTGGGACCACCGCCAAGAAGGCTCAGTTCCTTGAAGAGACTTTCTTCACCTCCCTTGGAGGGGCCACCTGCAGGAGGCAGTCCTGAGTGGAACAGGTGGCTCAGGCTGATGTTCTCCAGGGGGGGGGCATGCTCTGACAGAGATCGGGGTCCCAAACTGTCAAGGGCTTCGTATGCTAAGATCAGTATCTTGAACCTGGTCAATTCAGTTCCTATGTCCTTTGCCAATGGGATTGCAGAGCCCTTGGGGATGAACTGAGAGGTGTCAGAACAATTTTAGATTAGACAAGGCATCCTTCAGTCTCAAGAGACTATGGCAACATGCTCTGTATGGAGGACTTGGAAGAGCGTCTAGTGTGGCTGAGAAGGCCAGTTCAAGAGTGACCATCCCTTCCATACTGAAGACAAATATAATCTGTCCCCTGTCCAGCTCCCTGGTTTTGCTGGGTTTGGGACTGCCTCTTGCAGAACCCGCTTGCAGATCTCCATGTATCGCAGCTGTGGTCTCCCTCTAGGGCGATTTCCCTGCACTAATTCTCCATACAGGAGATCTTTCGGAATCCGACTGTCAGCCATTCACACCACATGCCCGAGCCAATGTAGACGATGCTGTTTCAGTAATATATACATGCTAAAAATTCAAGCTCGTTCTAGGACTACTCTATTTGGAACTTTGTCCTGCCAGGTGATACCAAGAATGCATTGGAGACAATGCATAAGAACAATTACAAGGGTAGAAACCATGTTTTTTTCTGTCCAGAGAGATGTAGAGAACATTAACTAAATTCCCCATTCTAATCAGTTTAGATTGTCTTCACACAACAAGACCCCTTAAGGAGTTTTAAGCCCTCAAGCTTTCCTCCACTTCAAACTGAGAGGGAAATAAGGAGCACTTTTGCTTTTTAAAAATCAAATACTGCAGAATCAGTGCAAAAGATTTCTGCACAAAGATAGACTCCTTCCCATTTGGGAAACATAGCGCAGAAATATATGCAGAGCAAGCCAAAACGGCTGGGGATTCGTGAGAAGGATGCAAAAACAAAATAAAACAAAAACCTATATGGAGATTCAAATTAGAATCACAGAATCATTGAGTGGGAAGGGGCTATTAAGGTCATCAGGCCTAACCCCCCTGCTCAGGGCACAGATCCAAATACAGAATCATCAAATTCCAAAACAAGAATCATAGCAGTCTTAAAAATCCTTGAAATCGGGAGTTCTCGTCATTCGACACAATTTCAGCAAAGTAGCCATTTTCACAAGTGCAAGGTTGCAAGTTGAGAGAACAAGGAAATTTGTCAGTATCTTCACCAGAGACACGAGAAGCTTGACGATTCTTTGACCTCCTGTGTCAGGATGGGACCAGGGAGTGTTTGCCCACCTACTTTAGTCAAGGTAGGCTGCTTCAGCCCTTCATGGATTGCTGCCTTGTTGTGGCGAAAGGGCTTGAGCAATTCCAGTAATCAGTAGCATGCTGGACGCCTTCCCACCTGAGGGTCCCATCTTCCAGCGTCATATCTTTTAGCCTTTTGTTTCTGATCATATAGTTTTCTCGGCAAAGATACTGGAGTGGCATTGCCGGTTCCTACTCCAGGTGGATTGCGTTTAGTCGGAACTCTCCACTATGACCTGTCCATCTTGGGTATCCCTGCACGGCATAGCCCATAGCCCTTCTCTGAGTTATTCAGGCCCCTTCGCCATGATAAGGCAGCAATCCATGAAGGGGGCAAACAATAATACAGGCTATAAAATATTTCTTCTCAAAAATCAAGGTCGGTGTGGAAAGAACAGATTCTCATGCTGGCTTTAGTAAATTAAAGTAAATAAGCTCTAGAGCATCTGGATTTATTACTAAGTTTTACGGGTGACACTGAAATTATTAAAAGCAAACTCTAGTAATGGGACAACGGACGCACTGTGCTATGCTTAACCCATCTTCAATCTGCTTCAGATCTGTTTTACACACAGAGAGGTGCTTGTTTTGTCATACTGTTGCCTCCGATCAAACAGGGTTGTCCAGATCTTTTATTAAAAAGCCATTAAAAAAAAAAAACACCTCAGCAGACTTGTCTACTAAAGACCGAACAGAAATTGCGAGTGCAACAATTTCTCTGTGGAACCTCCTCTTAGTTCGCTGAACAAAACTATTGTGCGTCTCCTTCTGAGAGCAAGGAACCTTTTCTAGACTTGACAATGCTTATTTTTCTATACTTTTTTTGTGTGAAGGACACTTTACGATGGGAGGGGTTTCCAGTGCTGTTCCTGCCAAGGAGATTCATTTCCATCCCACCCCCCACCCCTCAGCATGTTTGTTCAGTGGGAGTTAAGCCCATCCAACTTTTCTCACTTAGTCCTTTGGGTTCCACTTCATGAGACGCTCCTAATGACCAATCTCACTTTCAAACGAGTTATGTGATTGCTTGCTATTCTCCTGCTGGCAGTTTAGGTCTCAGCTGTCAGTGCCTCGGGCTAATTAAAGCTGATGGAGGGGGGAACCCTGAATTTTAAGAAGGCTCTCCTTTTTTCAAATAACAACAACCAACAAACATCCCGGCGTCAAATTGACGTTATCCAAAAACTGTCCAGAGTCTGTCCATTCACTAGTGCTGGTTTGTTGTCTGTGTGTCATCATTATCACTATGGCTAATAATAATAATAACGGGGAAGAAATTGGGGAAGTTAACATTAGTCTTTAAGTGGCACTTTAAAGACTAAGTGTTATATTTTAGTGTGAGCTATCATGGACAACTCCACTTCTCCAGAATTCTGAGGAAGTGGATTTGGCTACAAAAGCTCACGTTAAAATATAACACTAAGTGTATTCTCGAAGGCTTTCATGGGCGGGATCTGATGGTTGCTGTGGGTTTTCCAAGCTGTTTGGCCATATTCTTAAGGCTTTTCTTCCTAACGTTTCACCAGTCTGTGTGGCCGACATCATCAGAGGACAGGAGTCAGAACTCTGTCTGTGCTCTGTTGCAGTTGTTGGATAGTTGAGCATTTATAGCTGTGGGATCAGCATTTGTCCTTTTCAGGAGATTGGGTGAAAGCCTGGCTCCCAGCACTGAAAAATACTGCCTGCAAAAGGTCAACGAACTCTACCCAGCCACAAGGACCAGTGATCACTGCACACAAAAGACCAGCTAACGACACCCATCAATCAGAGTGACAGATCTTCTCTCCCCCTTATCACAACAATACACCCACAACAAAAACCATGCTGATAACCATAATCACCCAATCTCCTGAAAAGGACAAA